TCCGCCCCAGCACGCCGCCCTCCGCCAGCCACGCCGCCCGCCCCCGCCGCGCAGCCACTCGGCCTCGCACGCCCCCGGCCTCCCAGAGAGCTAGGAAAAGGTAAAATTTTTGAGAGCTGATAGGTATGCAAACTTTTTTATTCTATCTACCCTTACACCAATTGAAGCTGGAGATAATTTTCCCTCAGAAGTTTAAAGGTATTGATTTATTTTTTTTCTAATTTCTGGTGTTATTTGATGCATTTAGATTCTCAGTCCTTCATATGAATATTTTTTTGTTTTTGTTTTTATTTCAGGGTATTCTTTGTACTGAAATTCATAACCTACCTTAGTGTGGGTCTATTTTCCTCTATTGTGCTGGGCATTAGAAACTGATGGTTTTCAGTTAAATTTTCTTAGATTATTTCACTAATGATTTCCTCTCCTCTGTTTCTTCTGTTCTCTCTTTGTGAGTTGCTTGTTATTTAGACGAGGCCCTTTTTCTGGTCTTTTCTTTGCTACTTTCCAACTGTTCTTTTTGTACAATTTAGTGAGTGATTTCCTCAACTTCATCTTCTAACCATTCTATTGAGTTTTTATTTTCTATTTTCATTTTTAAAATTTTATATTCTGAATATTCCTTTTTTTAATGGAGAAAATTTTTTTACTGTTTCAAAATTCGAGGATATTAGTGGCAGTTCTTTAACAATGTTTTCTTCTCCCTGCATAGTCCCAGTTTCTTCCATACTTAGTCGTGGGGTTTTGTGTTTGCTTTATTTGGTTGTTTTGATCCTACCTTTCGCCCTAGAGCCTACCTCCAGCGCCCTAGAGCCTACTCTAGCGCCCTAGAGCCTCCTCCAGCGCCCTAGAGCCTACTCCAGCGCCCTAGAGCCTACCCCAGCGCCCTAGAGCCTACCCCAGCGCCCTAGAGCCTACCTCCAGCGCCTTAGAGCCTACCTCCAGCGCCCTAGAGCCTACTCCAGCGCCCTAGAGCCTACCTCCAGCGCCTTAGAGCCTACCTCCAGCGCCTTAGAGCCTACCTCCAGCGCCCTAGAGCCTACCTCCAGCGCCCTAGAGCCTACCTCCAGCGCCCTAGAGCCTACCTCCAGCGCCCTAGAGCCTAGACGCCTCCTCCCGAGCGCCCTAGAGCCCTCCTCCAGCGGGCCTAGACGCGCTATCCAGCGCCCTAGAGGCCTCCTCCACGCGCCTGAGCCGCC